ATTTGAAAAAATAGAATTTTTGAATTGCGAAAAGGTTTTTTTTATGAATTTGTATGTTCAATGCAAACACAGTTTCTAAAAGTTTCAAAAATTAAAATTTTTTTAAAACTGACAAAAGATTTCTAAAAGAGTCAAAAAAAAAAACTGTTTTTTTGTTTTTTAAAAATAAATTTGTGTATTTTTGCATGTAAAAGCATCTTGCAACGACCAAAAGCATTAAAATCCGAGTTATAATTAGTTTCCATTTATTGTAATACCTTGGAAATTAAAGCTTAAAACTTTTTGAACAATAAAAAACATTAATATTTGCAACAAATTGAAATATTTAAAATATATTGTTTAGTTTTTCAAAAACAAAAAAAAAGATATGAAATTTTTTTTAAAAATTTACATTTTTTTTTCACGTATAGGTTTTTGTCAAATATTTTGCGAAAATCACAAAAGAAACACATGAATATATATATAGTTACATATCAGTAACATGAAAAAAAAATTCTTGTGCAAACACATTATTTTCTGAGAAAAAGATGCACATTCAGTTTTAAAAGCATCATTTATGAGAAAATTGAATTTTTACTATAAAGTGTGTGACTTCATCAGAAAAATAATAAATAACACAACATGTATTTGTCCCATTTTATTAAACATTAGCATCTTTGCAATTTATTTTGCATAAAATAGTAAACAAAAAAAAAGTCTTAAATTTCGCAGAATAGCATTTTTCAGTTTTTTTTTTTTTTAGGCCATAATTTCTAGTATTACATCAATTTTTGAACAATTAGTAGCTTTCATGCTTTACAGATAACAAATTTGAACATAAAGCATCATAAATATAATGTGAAAAGGTATCAATATGGTTTTGGTATGAATTTGAGATGGTATGTAAAAATACCTGATTATACGACATTTGAAAGTTTAACCTGGGGTTTTGTAAAGTTATTATTAGGTTTTGTTGTTGCAGACACAAAACTTGAAAAATTACTCTAAAATGGACAAATAATTCCTAAAACATCCAAAATAAAATTGTTTTTATGTTCTTAAACATGAAATTTATGTATTTTTATGTGTGTAACAATGATCTCTGAAAGACAAACATCACATTTGATATATCATCTTGAAGCAAAATATTCCTTTTATTTTGTCTACATTGGCGCCAGCCAGCGCATCGCTTGTAATTTATTGCTCATAAGTGTTGCTTATAAAAGAGAATAAAACTAGATTTTGAAGTGTGACGTCTTCAATTGATGTGAACCCCACCCGTCAATTCATCTGAAATCACCCTATCATCCATCCCGCAAACAGATGTTGGATGACAGGGGTGCAGGTAGCCATGGGGTCGTGTGTTTGTTGACTGGCCTCGGACGAAGCGCAGACATCTGGTCTGGAATATACAATGGCTAAGGAATACAGATGTCAATAGGCATTCCTTTATAGATTTTGAATAGAAGTCGAGCATTGAGGTGGGGTTGTGAAGCCCAGGTGTGAGAGATGAATAGATGTGAGTTATGGCGCCCTTGGATTCGAGACGGATGGGGAATGTGTTCGTGTTTTCCGCGAAAATGAGAGACGCAGGTGGCCGGGAACGAGGGCAGACCCTTCTTTTGACCTGCCAATGAGGGAGGGCAGGGGCGCGTGGTGGACCCGCCCACAATTGTTTAAAAAGGGTAATTTGGACGGAGAAGGAGAGAAGGAGGAAGACGGACGAGAAGAAAACCTGAAGCGACTTGTGGAGAGAGAGGGACTTGGAGATAGAGCCATGGAGTAAACTGGAGCGGAAAACTATGGACTGGCTGACCTCGAGTGATAAGACTGTCCCACCCGGCTTTTGGCCTAATTAATGAATATTTATTTTTTGGAAATAGTAAATTCTAATTATTTTTAAAATATGGCTGTGACAAAATTTTTTGTCTACGAATGACTGACGACGATTACAGCTATATATATATATATATATATTAAATTGGTGGCAGCGGTGTTGATCCGGCATTTAAGTGAATAGATGCCCGAATCCATGGTTTTTACATGGAAAGAGTGAAAAACAGCCAGCCGTGTGCGAATGTGATGTGATGAATTTTAATGCCACTTTATTTTTGGAACGACGACTTCGAGAGAGGGTTTCTGAGCCTGCTATGAGATGTTTCCTGGAGTCCCCAGCTGTGAGAAGCCGGATAGAAGTGCTCCTGTTCCTGCCTGATGAATCAACGAGAATTTAAGAAATTTACCGTGTGTTTTGAGGGACATTTTTTCAAGAGTTCCCAGTGTTAAGAAGTCAGGTTACCATCAGTTTGTGATAGGTGCGGTTTTTTTTTTAAGAAGTGATTTGTGTGTAAAGAGAGTTCCTGAGGTGTTCCTATGTCTACGTCTACAAATTTTAAAAGGTGAGTCTTTTCTTTGAGATTATTTTCGGGACAGCCCCGAGTATAGTTTTGTATGTAAAATGTTGAGATAGAAGTAATAGAAAAAAGACTAGGTAAAAATTTGTAAACAATAAGACTAGAAAGATTTTTTGAGTTTTGTATAGAGATGTGTATAAATGTGCGATATTGGTATTTTTGTTTGAGGTTATTGTGAAATTAAGTATACAGTAGTTATACTTGTTGCGTTGGAACAATATTGTGTAGGATATTGTTGTGGTCTTAGATTTGTGAAATTTAGTATACAGTAGTTATACTAGTGGTGTTAATTACAATATTGTGTAGGATATTGTTGAGGTTATAGATTTGTGAAGATTAGTATACGGTAGTTATACTTGTATACAGTGTTGAGTAGGGGTATTATTGATTTGGTTTTAGATTTGCGCACATTTGCTTGTAAAATATAGTTAAGTCTAGGTCTAGTGTTGTTAGTTTACCTTGGTCTGTGTATAATTTTTGTAACGATTAAGTTTAGATTTGGTTTTGTGTGTATTAGTGCATCATGGCGTTTCTGTTAAGAGAAAAGAAAAGGCATAATGTTAGAAGTTACCCGAAAATTAGGGGTAGAAATTTGATATTACTTTAACTAGGATGGAAATTAATAAGAGAATTTGTCAAAGTAAAATACTATACTGATGAAGCAGCCCAAATAATTGTTAGAGGGTATTTTGGATGAAAAACAGGAGTAAGGAACGGCGTGAACAACGTGAAAAGAACTGAAATTAAAATTTGAGGGCGTAGACTAGCGAGGGAATTTGAGTTAGAAAGACTAAGAGCTCAACACAGAAACTAAGTTAAACGAAAATGGTGAAGTCAGGGAACCGGGGACTAATCTCGCAAATGTTTGTGTGTCAGGAAAACGTACCGCAGAAGTTAGTGAACCGGTTAATAAGAATTAGCCAGGCCTTTAATTATTCGGTAGTTAATAACGCCATGTCACAGTGATTTCGAAAAGAATTGTTCCCCTCCCCAGTGAGAAGGACAACGATTTTCCCAACAAGTAAGAGGGATAGGAACAGAAAGGATAGTAAATTTATGGTTGAAAAGGGAAATCAATGTGGATAGATTGGTCATTGTAGCAAGGGAACTGGAGCCACTTGCAGGTGCAAGTGTCAATGCAATCGCTTTGTGTGCAAAGCGGGTAATAAATCTAATGAAATAGGGAGCTGATTCTTTAGAATTGATAGAAGTTAAGAACAGTGAACCCTGAGAAATTTTGAGTTGTGATAGAATGCAAGAAAAAGAAATACCAGAATGACGTTAACGGGTGGTGAGCAGCAGTTGGCAGTGAATCGTGAAGGTTTTCGGAATCATATAATAATGGCTAAGATAGCAGGGAAGTTAAATGAGAAAGAAAACACGTGTAAAGCTGATGATGATGTGTGGGGAGGTTTGAAGTGAGTTAACGATGCGTTTGCCTCTCTCAAAACCAAAAAGGTTACGATAGGAACAGTTTAGAGACGGATAATAGGTCTAGCTTGGATTCAGAATTTAAGTTCAGGAATAGATTTACCAGAGAAAGAGATCGCAGTATCAAATTTTATCTTCTCAATTTAATAAAACTGTACCGTAAGAAGCCGGGTAGCATTTGGTTAGGAAAATAGCTCAGGGAATAGAAAGGAAGATTCCCGAAATTCTCTATTCGGTAAAGCTATTTTATAGTTTAACTTTCAGAATTGTTTTAGGGAAAGTCAACTGTATTCTAAATTACCACACCTGATCAGAAGTAACTATTTAAGAATGATTAACACTAAAAGAAGAAGGTTTCTTTCATATCCTGGGATGATTTCTTTAAGGCAGAAGGATAGTAGTTTAAATGCAGGAAGCCGTTCAAAATTAAAACTTGTTGTACATCCAAGATGTTAATTAATTCGCTACGAGAAGATACAGAGTATCTTTCGGATTTAGATGTAAACAGGATGGGGCAGTCAGACGTACTCTGCCCGTTGTTTGAAGTTTAGGAAGAAATTGAGACGGTACCCTTATCCACGTATTAAATGTAATAAGTTTAGGAATTTGAACCAGGTGACGCGAGCCGAAATTTATCTTTATTAAAATGGAAGGTTTGGTAGAAAGAATAGCGAGGTATCGTGGGTCACTGTACTGGATTTGTGGAAGTGGTATTTTCGTCGTTTCTCTCATGATGAGTTATTGAAACCTATCACAATATATATGACGAATTTACAAAAGAAATTAAAATTTTTGATGATAAAAACATTAATTCTATATATATATATAAAAGTAATAAGGGCCTTTTTTAAGGGCAGACGAAATTTTTTAAATAGGCTAATAAATTTTTATCAAATTTCTGATGAATAGTTTATTTTTATTCGTTTTAAAATTAATAATGTTCTTTTCAGGCATATTTCAAAAGTTAATATAAAAATTCAATCCCAATTTACATTATGCTCTACCGAATTGCGCTCAAAGTGTTTAAATAGTCACAAGGATGATAGAGAATGTAGCGGCTTCTGAAAACCTTTAATATCCTTTACGGGTTCAAAATCCGGATTTGTAGGGAAACTATTTAAGAATTCTTACACAAACAATGACGTACCCATGCGTAAAAATTCCTTATATCGCCGAGCCTCGGTAGCGCAGTAGGCAGCGCACGTCAGTCTCATAATCCTCCAACTTTGCTTGAAATCTGAAGGTCGTGAGTTCGATCCTCACCCAGGGGCATTTAGTTTTGATTTTTGACCGTGGGTGAAAGCGTCTGTCTCGAGCGTAAATGCTTATGATCTCCGAAATTTTTCATTTCACTTTTGATTTGACGCAATGGATTGCCTTTACTTCTTTAAAAAATTCAAGTTGTTTACATTTAGAGAAAGATGATGTAAAAATATATATTTGTGTTTCGTAAACATGGATTCAGAACTAGAAAACTGACTAAAAATACTTCAAATGTTGAATCAAAACACATAAAAGAGGAATACAGGCGTTGTACTTTTAGGAAAAGCAGGATGTGTTTCAAGGGAGTCCCATGTGGTCTAGTGGTTAGGATTCCTGGCTCTCACCCAGGCGGCGGGTTCGATTCCCGGCATGGGAAGTTTGGGTTCCATGTGGTGGCCAATAGTTGCTTACTCTGGACTTTGAATCAGCGATCCGAGTTCAAATCTCGGTGGAACTAACTATCGCTTTTACATATGACAATAATACCAGGGTTTGTCACCTCTGAAAGTTTTTTATCCCCTTCAATAAATCGAAATCTGAAGGTTATATAAGAGTGATAATTTTTAATGCGAAAAAGCCTGTATCGTAAATTTTTCTTTCCAAGAAACTTAGTGCCAACTATGAAAGTCTTGAAATACGTTTTGTATTTTAACTTTAAAATTTACGGAATTTCATGTGCTTTCACAAGAAGAAATGATATCGTGAAAAGGAATAATTGTTTGGCTACTACCGAAGGTCTGCGTGTCCTCAAATTCGACGAAAAAAATTTTTTTTTCGAAAAATTAAAATCACAATTGTATAAAACAATAGAACTAATGTTTTTCAAATGTGAGAGTTGGAAATTAAGACGACAATTGTTCGCCCCGGCTCCCTTTTGGTCTAGTGGTTAGGTTTCCCGTTCCCCCCAGGGGGGCCCGGGTTCGTTCCCCGCGTGGGAAATTTCCGGGTTGTAAGATTAGCTTCTGGGACTCTGAACCCGCGATATTTTAAAATTCGGTGGAACCTTATTTTTTAACAGATGGTATTGAAACCACAAATATATAAGAAATTTGAAATTAAAAATTTTTGTTGTTTTTCTATATATATATAAAAGAAAAAAGGGCCCTTTTTGAGGGACGAAATTTTTAAAGAGGCTAAAAAATTTTTTAAAATTTCTTAATAGTTTTTTTTATTCGTTTAAAATTAATTTTCTTTTCGGCTTTTTAAAAAGTTAATAAAAAAATTCAACCCAATTTACATTATGTCTGAATTGCCCCAAAGTGTTTTAATATTGAAAGGGGAATACGAAAGAGCGGCTCTGAAAACATTTAATATCCCCTTACGGGTTCAAAACCGGTTTTTAGGAAAACTATTTAGAATTCTTACACAAACAATGACGTACCCATGCGTAAAAATTTCCCTTTTGTCCGCCCACCTCGGAGGCAGTAGGCAGCCGTCAGTCTCTAACCTAACTTTGAGAAATCTGAAGGTCTTTAGTTCATCCTCACCCCGGGGTTTAGTTTTGATTTTTGGGCCTCTTAGATTGAAAGCGTCTGTCTCGAGGTAAAGTTATGATCTCAAATTTTCATTTCACTTTTGATTTGGCAATGGATTGCCTTTATTTTAAAAATTAAAAAGTTTTTACATTTCGAGAAAGATGATGAAAATATATATTTGTGTTTCGGAAACATGGACGAACAGAAAACTGATAAAAAATATTTCAAAGTTCAATCAAAACTTACATAAAAAAATACGGGGTTGTATTTGGGAAAAAAGCAGGATGTGTTTCAAGGAGCCCGGGTTAGTGGTTGGGATTCGGGCCTCCCCCGGGCCCCCGGGGGTTGGTTGGCGGGGGAAGTTTGGGTTCCATGGTTAATGGTTGCATCTGAATCGCAACCCGAGTTCAAATCTCGGTGGAACCTTTAATGCTTTTAAATATGCAATAAAAAGGAGTTGTCCCTCTCGAAATTTTTACCCCCTCAATAAATCAAATCTAAAGGGGTTATATAAGAGATAATTTTAATCGAAAAGCCTTATCGCGAAAATTTTCTTTCCAAAAACAAAACCCCGGGGAAAAGTTTTGAAATACGTTTTTTCAAAACTTTTTTTACGAGAATTTCAGGGGTTTTTTTCACATGAAATAATATTAAAAAAGGGAATAATTTTTTTCCTGAGTTTTTGGTGTCCCCAAATTCGACGAAAAAAAATGTTTTTTTTGACAAAATTAAAATCAAAATTGTAAAAAAAAAGAACTAATGAGGGGAAATTTAGAGAAATTGTTTTAAAAGACGCAAATTTTCGTCCCGAATGACTCCCTTTGGGGCGTGTTTGGTTTCCCTGGCTTTCACCCAGGGGGCCGGGTTCGTTTCCCCGGCGTGGAAACTTGGGTTTCCCATGGTGTAATATTAGCATCTGTGGACTCTGAACCCAGGATCAATTTCAAATCTCTGGAACCTTATATTTTGGGGGTTTGAAACTATCACAATATAAGAGGGAAATTTTAAAAAAGAAATTAAAATTTTGATGATAAAAATTTAATTCTATATATATAAAATAATAAGGGCCCTTTTGGGGAAAAAATTTTTAAATGGGGCTAATAAATTTTAAAATTTCTGTTTAAGTTTATTTTTTTCTTTTAAAAATTTAATGTTTTTTTCGCATTTTTAAAAGTTAATATAAATTTCAATCCCAATTTACATTAGCTACCAATTGCGCTAAAAGGGAAAATAGTCTCAAAGGAGTTGAATGTGCGGCTTCTAAAACATTTAATACCCCATCGGGTTCAAAACCCGGATTTGTAGGAAAACTTTTTAAAGAATTTTTTCACAAGAATGACGTACCATGCGAAAATTCCTTGTCCCCAGCCTCGGTAGGCGCAGTAGGCAGCCGTCAGTCTCATAACCCCTCAACTTGAGAAATCTGAAGGTCGTGAGTTCGATCCTCACCCGGGCATTTAGTTTTGTTTTTTGGGAGCCGTCTTAGATTGAAAGCGTCTGTCTCGAGCGTAAATGCTTATGATCTCGAAATTTTATTTCACTTTTGATTTGACGCAATGGATTCCTTTACTCTTTAAAAATTCAAAGTTGTTTACATTTCAGAAAGATGAGTAAAATATATATTTGTATGTTTCGGTAAACATGGATTCAGAATAGAAAACTGACTAAAAAATACTTCAAATGTTCAATCAAACTTACATAAAGGAATACAGGCGTTGTACTTTTAGGAAAAGCAGGATGTGTTTCAAGGGAGTCCCATGTGGTCTAGTGGTTAGGATTCCGCTCTCACCAGGCGGCCCGGGTTCGATTCCCGGCGGGGGAAGTTTGGGTTCCATGGTGTAATGGTTAGCACTCTCCCTGAATCCAGGATCCGAGTTCAAATCTCGGTGGAACCTTTAATGTTTTACATATAGACAATAATATAGGTTGTCACCTCTCAGAAAGTTTTATCCCCTTCAATAAATCGAAATCTGAAAGGTTATATAAGAGTGATAATTTTTAATACGAAAAAGCCTGTATCGCGTAAATTTTCTTTAAAGAAACACAGTACCAGCGAAAGTCTTGAAATACGTTTTGTACATAACTTTAAAATTTATGAGAATTTCATGTGCTTTCACATGAAATAATATGTAAAAGGAATAATTGTTTCTCTACCGAGTCTGGTGTCCTCAAATTCGACGTAAAAATGTTTCTTTTGCAAAAATAAAATCACAATTGTAAAAAAACAATAGAACTAATGATGTGCAAATGTAGAGAGAATTGGATTTAAGAGTACAATTGTTCGCCCCGAATGACCCCCATGTGGTCTAGTGGTTAGGATTCCTGGCTTTCACCCAGGCGGCCGGGTTCGATTCCCGGCGGGAAACTTGGTTCCATGGTGTAATGATTAGCACTCTGTGGACTTAATCCGATCATATTTCAAATCTCGGTGGAACCTATTTTTAAAAACAGATGGTTTGAAACCTATCACAATATAGACGGAATTTAAAAGAAATTAAAAATTTTGATGATAAAACATTAATTCTATATATATAAAGTAATAAGGGCCTTTTGGGCACAGAAATTTTAAATGAGGCTAATAAATTTTAAAATTTCTGTTTAATAGTTTATTTTTATTCGTTTAAAATTAATGTTCTTTTCAGCATATTTAAAAAAGTTAATAAAAAAATTCAATCCCATTTACATTTCTTCCAATGCGCTTCAAATGTTTAATAGTCCGAAGGATGATGGGAATGGGCGGCTTCAAAAAACATTTAATACCCCATTAGGGGTTCAAAACCCGGTTTGTAGGAAAACTTTTAAGAATTTTTTACAAAAATGACGTACCCTGGAAAATTTTTTTATTCCGCCGACCTCGCGCAGTAGGCGCGCGTCAGCCCTATAATCCTCAATTTTTGGAAATTGAAGGTGTAGTTCGATCCTCCCCCGGGGCATTTTTTTTTGATTTTTGGGCGTCTTAGATTAAAAGCGTCTGTCTCGAGCGAAAATCATGATCTCGAAATTTTCATTTCACTTTTGATTTGACCAAGGGAGCCTTTACTTTAAAAAAATTCAAAGTTTTTTACATTTCGAGAAAGATGATTAAAATATATATTTTTTGTTTGGGAAACATGGATTCAGAACAGAAACTGAAAAAAATACCAAATTTAATAAATTTACATAAAATCAGGCGTTGTACTTTTAGGAAAAGCAGGATGTGTTTCAAGGGAGTCCCATGTGGTCTAGTGGTTAGGATTCCTGGCTCTCACCCAGGCGGCCCGGGTTCGATTCCCGGCGTGGGAAGTTTGGGTTCCATGGTGTAATGGTTAGCACTCTGAATCCAGCGATCCGAGTTCAAATCTCGGTGGAACCTTTAATGCTTTTACATATGACAATAATATAGGAGTTGTCACCTCTCAGAAAGTTTTTATCCCCTTCAATAAATCGAAATCTGAAAGGTTATATAAGAGTGATAATTTTTAATACGAAAAAGCCTGTATCGCGTAAATTTTCTTTCCAAGAAACACAGTACCCAGCGAAAGTCTTGAAATACGTTTTGTATCATAACTTTAAAATTTACGAGAATTTCATGTGCTTTCACATGAAATAATATCGTGAAAAGGAATAATTGTTTCTCTACCGAGTCTGCGTGTCCTCAAATTCGACGTAAAAAATGTTTCTTTCAAAAATTAAAATCACAATTGTATAAAACAATAGAACTAATGATGTGAAAAATGTGAGAGAAATTGGGATTTAAGACGTACAATTGTTCGTCCCGAATGACTCCCATGTGGTCTAGTGGTTAGGATTCTGGCTTTCACCCAGGCGGCCGGGTTCGATTCCGGCGTGGAAACTTGGGTTCCATGGTGTAATGATTAGCACTCTGTGGACTCTGAATCCAGCGATCATATTTCAAATCTCGGTGGAACCTTATATTTTGCAACAGATGGTATTGAAACCTATCACAATATAAGACGGAATTTAAAAGAAATTAAAAATTTTGATGATAAAAACATTAATTCTATATATATAAAAGTAATAAGGGCCTTTTGAGGCACACGAAATTTTTTAAATGAGGCTAATAAATTTTAAAATTTCTGTTTAATAGTTTATTTTTATTCGTTTAAAATTAATGTTCTTTTCAGGCATATTTCAAAAAGTTAATATAAATTTCAATCCCAATTTACATTATGCTATCCCGAATTGCGCTCAAAGTGTTTCAATAGTCTCGAAGGATGATAGCGAATGTAGCGGCTTCTGAAAACATTTAATATCCCATTACGGGTTCAAAATCCGGATTTGTAGGAAAACTATTTAAGAATTTTTCACAAAGAATGACGTACCCATGCGTAAAATTCCTTATGTCCGCCGAGCCTCGGTAGCGCAGTAGGCAGCGCGTCAGTCTCATAATCCTCAACTTTGAGAAATCTGAAGGTCGTGAGTTCGATCCTCACCCGGGGCATTTAGTTTTGATTTTTTTGGAGCCGTCTTAGATTGAAAGCGTCTGTCTCGAGCGTAAATGCTTATGATCTCGAAATTTTCATTTCACTTTTGATTTGACGCAATGGATTGCCTTTACTCTTTAAAAAATTCAAAGTTGTTTACATTTCGAGAAAGATGATGTAAAATATATATTTGTGTGTTTCGGTAAACATGGATTCAGAACTAGAAAACTGACTAAAAATACTTCAAATGTTCAATCAAAACTTACATAAAGGAATACAGGCGTTGTACTTTTAGGAAAAGCAGGATGTGTTTCAAGGGAGTCCCATGTGGTCTAGTGGTTAGGATTCCTGGCTCTCACCCAGGCGGCCCGGGTTCGATTCCCGGCGTGGGAAGTTTGGGTTCCATGGTGTAATGGTTAGCACTCTGGACTCTGAATCCAGCGATCCGAGTTCAAATCTCGGTGGAACCTTTAATGCTTTTACATATGACAATAATATAGGAGTTGTCACCTCTCAGAAAGTTTTTATCCCCTTCAATAAATCGAAATCTGAAAGGTTATATAAGAGTGATAATTTTTAATACGAAAAAGCCTGTATCGCGTAAATTTTCTTTCCAAGAAACACAGTACCCAGCGAAAGTCTTGAAATACGTTTTGTATCATAACTTTAAAATTTACGAGAATTTCATGTGCTTTCACATGAAATAATATCGTGAAAAGGAATAATTGTTTCTCTACCGAGTCTGCGTGTCCTCAAATTCGACGTAAAAATGTTTCTTTCGACAAAAATTAAAATCACAATTGTATAAAAACAATAGAACTAATGATGTGCAAATGTGAGAGAAATTGGATTTAAGACGTACAATTGTTCGTCCCGAATGACTCCCATGTGGTCTAGTGGTTAGGATTCCTGGCTTTCACCCAGGCGGCCCGGGTTCGATTCCGGCGTGGAAACTTGGGTTCCATGGTGTAATGATTAGCACTCTGTGGACTCTGAATCCAGCGATCATATTTCAAATCTCGGTGGAACCTTATATTTTGCAACAGATGGTATTGAAACCTATCACAATATAAGACGAATTTAAAAGAAATTAAAATTTTGATGATAAAACATTAATTCTATATATATAAAATAATAAGGGCCTTTTGGGGCACACGAAATTTTTTAAAAGAGGGTAATAAAATTTTTAAAATTTTTTTTAATATTTTTTTATTCGTTTTAAAAATTTAAAG